ACCTTGAGATATTTTCGAATGTTTTGTCATAAGTTGGACCGCATTTGAGGTCTAGTGGTAAGAGTTCCTGGCTACAGATCCAGAGGTCCGGGTTCGATTTCCAGTGCTACCAACAGATTTTCTGAGATGTAGTGGGTCTATAGCAGGGTCCACTCAGCCTCGTGAGAATAACTGAGGAGCTATTTCATGAAAATAGCGGCTCCCGTCTATAAAACCGAGATTAACGGCCATGGGGATCCGCTGCGCTGACCATGCGATACCCTCTATCCATTAAAGTTGGCACTAACTTCGCCGACAAGCGGCGGTCGCTCGGTCGGTATAGTTCTCTTGCGGACTCAAGCCATGGAGATTGTTTTTTCCCTGAATTGCATATAGTGAAATTAATATACCATATGTAATGTATGATGTATTTTGTAAGTATATAATAATAAAAATTTTAAATACTACAGGGTCCTAAATTCATGTACAACCACAGATAGCAACCTTCAGATGGTTTTGTGTGTTGTATCATAAGTTTATAAAGATTGAATTTGACACTGTAAATGTCGAAATATATCGGGACATTAATATGACTCTTAAAATACACCAGGAACTTATGTTGTAATAGATTGTAATACGATTAAAAAAACGAAGAAAGTATGATATCCTTTAGCAGATGCTTTCGGTCTCAAGGCCGAAATATGAATCAGGGCTTTCCCGAACACAAAGCAGGAAAGACCTCATTCGGGGCATTTGATTATTTCGCGTAACAGGCTTATTATCCTGTCAAGGACCTTGAAGACGATCAGAAAATATTTGAATTTGTAATAACTAGTCAACAAAAGATTTAAAATGACTTCCGTTTTATTGCCAGTATAACTTAATTTTTAATTCATATTTGTAATTAAATTTAGAGACCAATTTATTTTCAGTCGTGTAGCTTTAATGTCACTGAAACGATATGGCGACACAAAATAATATCCATGACAAATCACTGGTAACGTTATCGCACTTCAATGGATTGCACTAGTACTCCATTACAAGACTTCTCTCTTACTGGGAAGTTCCCGGCTCTCTATATTAAAACAATTAGCTTCAGTTAAATTGTACACAGAAAGTCGACAGGCATCTCGTTCAAAAGCAAAACAAATTTATTATTTAATATAGGGATACGTCAGTGCAACAGTTCAAGATTTTGTATCAAACACTGCAAAGAAATTATATTTCAGAATTCAGATTTGTATTCAGTTAATACACTCTCTCTCTCTCTCTTGTTCCTTATTCTACTTTCCTTTCTCTATTTCTACGTTTAAATCATATTATCCGAGACTGATAAATAAAATGACGTGAATATCGTACAAAACTGAGACTCATATTTCTCGGGAGACAGGAAATCTGCAATGTTGTAACAGGAGCTTAACAGGACCTCGCATTAAACTTCCATGCCTCCGTAATTCTTAGCTAAGGTGGAAAATTAGTCAGGGTGCTTAAACAGATCTTTCTTGGTAATAAATACAAATGTAAGGATTATGAATTCCAAATGCGCCTTCACTGACCTTCCACTAATCCTTATCTGACCATAAATTATCAATTTATACTTCTGGGAGGAGATATTTAAAGGAAGTTCGGAAATTCTTTTATTCCACAAATAAGTTTAACGGTAAAACATCTGATATCGAAGCAAAAGCTCTTTTATGAAATAGTGCTGTATTTAAAATATTTCTCATGTCTTCACAAAGTAGCCCTATTGAAGACAAACAAACCACGATCATATTATCAAGTCTTATACGTAAATAGAATAATTAAGGTAAGAGATTTTGAATAGATGAAGGACTATAAGTTACTATTCTGTCTATTCCAAGCAGTAAGTTATGGTCATATTCATTAGGAGAACAAGTTTTGTAGCTAATGTTTGTTCCAAGTCTCCCGTTTAAGAACATAAAGAACCACATTTCAGACGCAGTAAATAACCATTCAATAAAGTACAAGGTATAATATGGAGAAAGTGTGGAATACACAGGCATGGTATGTGAAGATGAAAATAATTCAATTCAATTCCTATTTATTTGTGTGCTATCTCAGCATCCCAAAGGTCACCAACAAAGTGAGCAAGAGTGAAAGAAAGAAACAAACAAACAAACAAATATGCGTAAAGTATAAAACAAGGCAATCTGAGTAATTATGATGATAATAAATTGGAAACAATATTGAAAATCGAAGACATAATTTAGGAGATGATAATAGTAATAATTCAATTCTATTCTTTATTATTTACGTGCCGAGTCAACAACCGCAAGGTCAATTACAGACAGAGCACAGGGTAGATACAAGTAATTACAATATGGATAAACACAACGTAAAGTCAAAAACAAATTTTCAGGCAAGCACTGTAAGAAAACACAACAATGCGAACAAGTAAAAAAACTAACAAACAAACAAAGTAACAAATAATAATAGCAATAATAATAATTTCATTAACATAAATCTAAATGTTATTGAGAACTGAGAAATAACAATAACGATAACAAAATCAGGTAACAGGGTAGAGTTGATAAAGCAAAATATAAACGTTTACAAGAACACAGCGCGGAATGTGAAAGTAATGGTAATCCTTAAGTGCATCTACTAAAGTGCTTGACATCACCTGAGAGACAAATTACAGGCAAGCACTGGACAAAGAAAACACATCAATACAGAAGAAATAAGCAAACAAAAGCAAAGATGATAAGTACACAAAGAAAGTAATAACTAAGAATTACATAATACAGCAACATTAGGATTATGAATAAATACGTGTATTATAAATACTTTAAGATAGAAGATTATAAAATATGGTTGAGAGAAAGGGCTCCAATTACAAATATGTCGAGGTCTTTACCCACCGCGTTGGCAGCATAGGCGCACCGAGAAGAAGGATAGTGTTTATTAATGGGACAAACACCAAAACATGAGAAGCCCCTAACACTGCGAGTAGAAACACGAAGATTAATATTTTCCAAGAGGGAATTGCAGGATTTAAGGCCACACTAGACTTAAACTAAAAAGTGCATCAAGGTGATGTCTCCGTTCACTTAAAGAACGCAGACTTAATTTCTCTATCAGGCAAGCAAAGGGACTCATACGAGGACCTTCCACTATAAGAGCGAAGGGACTGTTGAAGCTAAACAGGAACCAGCTACGATGGGTGGTAGGACTACTTACAGGACACTGTCATCTTATAGGACACCTGTTCAAACTGGGACTAAGTGATAGTCCCACTTGTGAGAGGTGTCAGACAGAAAACGAGACAGCCACACACATCCTGTGTGAATGTGAGGCTTTAGCTTATTTAAGACTACGTCACTTGGGTCAATAATTTATGGAACCAAATGACTATTTTGATTCCCCCACGTACAAAATCCTGCGCTTCATTCGAAGCGCGGGGTTACTGAGGGAATAATTAAAACAGGGGAAGCACAAGAGACCACTGAAAAAAAGGTCGCGGTGCAAGGGCCGAGAAGGCCTACCCCTCATACATTCATTCATTCATTCATAATTTCTCCATGGCAAAAGTATAACTATAAAGAATGTATAGGAAGAACGATAGGTACAGAAGGGCGCAAAATTTCGCTGGATGCACTCAAGTTTGTTGGCATCGGTAAACGTGACAGTATTCCGAACTACCGACGCATATTCCGACTTGACCCGAATAACCTAAAGTATAGCACATATAAACAGTCCAGGGAAGAACATCTGAAAGTTATGGAACGCATAAGGTCTAATAGCTTCATGCACTTAAAATATGAGATCAAAATGATTGTGAAAATATAATTTTGAATCAAAGAAAACACCCAGTTTCTTAATACTTCTTTTGCTTGCCATGGCAGCAAGACAAAGCTGATACTCGTATCTCAGAACATTTTCCTTTCTGGAGTATGATATAACATGCGTTTTAGCAGTATCAAATCTCATAGAGTTAGCAGCGCGCTAGTCGCTCACGGAATTAATGTCAGATTGGAGTAAGCGACGATCATATGGAGAGTTAATGACGCGGAAAATTTTGAGATTACCAGCAAAGATTAAAACTTTACAATGTTTACTGGAATTACATAGGACATTAATGAAGACTGTGATAAGAAAAGACCCCAGGAGAGAATCTTGCAACACAACAGAAGTTACTTGAAAAGGCAGTGAGAGAGTGCCAGAAACGCGAACCCGAGACTGTCTGTTTGTCAAAAAACTGCGAAACTGGCTAACTTAGCCATCGCATAATCCAAAGGGTCTTAATTTGTGCAAGAGCAGGTTACGGGAGGACGAGGTGAAAATCATTCGAAAGATCGGCTTGACCCTGACCGCGGGCAATAGGAGTCACAAATGTTACCAAATTAGCAACTATGGATTCGGATTTGGTGAAGCCATATTGGTTGGGATTACGTTTAACGTAATGCAAGACATGATCGTAAATAATAAATCAAAAACTTAACAGAAATTACTGAGAATAGAAGTGGGCCTAAAGTTGCTCACGTCTGCATAATTTCCTATTTTTAATAATAATAATTATAATAGGCACAACACATAGATCGAATTCAAATAAAAACTAAAGAGAATCCCAGGAATGGAATACACTCTGAAGAAAAGAACCTAGAAACTTCACAAAAAGTTGGAGACTTTTTTGAAGAGTTAAGCTCGATCTTGCTCAGGTAATATGGGGAAAAAAATTATAGTTTCTGTTATATTTAGCGTACTGCAAATCTGTATAATTTGAATTGTTTTTAGCCTTATATCCTTAATTTATGAAATACTTTCGGGTTATTATTATGTTCGTAGAAATGTATCCTTCTCAGAAATATCGTTCGAATCAGATTACAAGAAGTTAGTAATCTAATACCTCGGCTTAAAGTTTTGTAATTTGCATTTGTGTAGAATCATTCCAGTAATCTACATATCCTACAAAGTGATGGTTTTCTCAATTATACAAAATGCATATACCTAAGCTGAAATTGAACCTATTCAATTGGAGAGTGTTTGGAGATTCAACTTACCACAGGACGCCACTCGAGTGAGGACACTTGGCTGCTGATCTTCAGGATGTCCTTGCAGATGTTACTTGAAATGGATGACAGCGACATGTTACATGCCGACACATGGTGAAATGTAATACACAGAACTTCGCTCTTGTTTATGTAAAAGTCAAATATATGGTTTTCCCGCTTCCTAAAGAGGCATCAATCTATAGTAGTAATGTGACCCAACAGACGATTGCATGCGCTTATTATATAAAAGTATTCTGTATTAACATAAGAGGATTTTCAATATAAATATTTGTTCCACACATCTATATCATAAAACAACTTATACGTATTTCTTGAATTCAAACACACGACATAATCGACGTTCTTCTGGATTTAAATGGATAATAGTTCAGGTTACGCAGTTACATCGGTTACATGTGTGGGAATTGTAACTTTATGCACTCCGAATTTCAGTTTATTCCCATGTTACGGAGTAGGGCATCATTACGAAACTGTGCATACAGTCAAAATCTTCAGCGTTGTTTACAGTTTCCGGACAAATTGATGGCTAATAATGACAAATTATTTCTGCAATGGCTCGAGTTGAATTATTGTGTCCACTCGTGGAAACTAGTTTTATTAGCAATACAAAAACCGTTCTGAGAGAATTTCGTCATTATTCATTCTAAATATGTATCACTATTTGTATCACTCCTCATATACACTTATATAATCAATTATTAGTTATATAATCAATTATTATTATTCCGCGCGTTTTACCATTGAAATCCACGAAACAAAATTCCGGTGCACCCTATATCAGATATCCATGTTCTACATGAAAGCAGAAGATGAAGCACTAATATGCGGATAGTTTACTTGGATTTCATTTTTGTTATTGTGTGTTCCTAACAAATAAGTTGAGAATTTCAGTGAATGATCAATTCCAGTTCACTTCAATTATATTTCAAAAGAAGATAATAATTGCACACTTTTACACATTATGATTAATTCATGATGCTAAACATCTTGTTAGTTCTAAATTTTCTAATCCTGCACACCACCAGTTAAAATATTCAATGTCGAGAAAGTAAGTTTACTTGATTAATATATAATCAGTAGAGACGTGGGGAAGAAATCTGTATTATAGTCATTTCACAGTTCGCACATTGTGCTCAAAGCAACGTCACTGGAAGTTAATGAAAACGTTCTCTTAAAAGCATATCTTCTCTGAGGAAATCATTTGTTACTCAAATGTCTTTTTAACACTCCGGTATGACTGAGAAGTAAATTTCCCTGAATGAAGTGTATTTTCCTTACATCGATACAGATACAAAATTATTTAAAAATAATGTGTAATAATGTTACAGTATTAAGAACAGTAATATATTAAAACTCAATATAAAAGCTAACACATAAATATTAAACGATAAATCAGTTTACCAGCGAAATGGTACTCACATTTATATAATTTTTCTATGAAGTTTTTATATGTTTCTTCCGTCTGCTTGCTGTTAACGAAAGGGCTCATTATCAGACTGATGTATTTTCAGATTACGGACGTGAAAGTACCGACAAAATGCTACTTTCATGTCGTTTCTCTTTGAAAAATATGACGCAGTAAATTAGTCGAGCACACCATGTTCACTATAAAGAGCAATGTCGCATCTTTGTGAAGTTTGCCTGTTGCGTGTCGTATACTTAACGTTTCATATCTGAGTTTTGCAACAAGCATTACTTCATGGTGGCGTCAACGAGATCGACGTTTCAGGCTATTTTGAATTAAAGTTATGTTTTCATATCTTATTCACGGAAGTCAAATTGTTTTTATTTATTATTCGCAGAATAAAAAAGACTTTCACTTGCCAATATCTACATTCTATTCGTATTTACCAAATATATTCACAATTCGCTGTAGAGTCTTCATGTACGACAACGTCAATAAACGTCATTATTCAGATCTTTTAAATGTCTTGGAAGTCACTGTCTCTCGCTTTGGTTGTCACTGCACTTCAACTGTTTCAACACAGATCTTATCAGGAAACAACTGAACAAATGAATGTGTTACTTGGTGCAGTACATAGCCCGCTCAGAGAAAGGTGAATTCTTTTCGGATTTAGCTTACATTTTTAAGTTTATACTTCAAAACATTACCTCCTTATACAGTCTAAATCTTAAATGTGAATACAACAGATATGAATAAAATTGTCCCTCACAGCTACGAACAGTTTTTACTGCATGAAACAACCTATTCATTCCTCTAGCCCCACACATTTACAGCACTAAGCACGTCGTAACTAATGTTCACTGTATAACATGGATAATGTTGCACGAATGCTCTAGTAAATATAATGTGTTTCATTGATTACACACTAATACTTAAAATTGAGATATCACTCCTCTTTTGTATCTGCTCTACTGGTTGGTTAGCCACACGAGAAACCACTTGTTACCCGTTTCACTGAACCCCGCCCTAGAGCACAGCCGGTTTCTCCAACATGCGTTGTTTAACTTCATCATTTTGAAGTGACATGAAGTTTGAAATCGATGTTCACTTACTGTGTAAATGCCTCTCCCGTGCACAAAGCGCAGAGGGTACGTGTTAGCAGGCGAGGAATACAGCCACCCCTTGTTCATATTTGTGACACAACCCAGATTAACCTCTACGTCTTGTTTCTTTTATTTCGTGATATGTATAAATCATATTTAAGAGAATGAAGAAATAAATATGACTCAGCAATATACTATTAATTCTGTAACGTCTTTTAAGTGTAAGGTTTCACTGCAACAATCAGTTCTTTTTTATTTTTCACTGAATTAAGACTCCCTACTTCTTACAGAAGGCCAACGCAGACATTGGAATGTTTAATGCCAGCTGCATTCAGCCACTTACGTATGACAGTAATTTATGTTACATACTTTCAATAAAATTGTCTCATTCTTATTTTTAGCGATCATAATTAATTTATTATTTAAAAACTCAGTAAGAAAACTATTTCAAAACACTAAATATTTACGATCTGATAATCGTTTCGTAAGTCACTATTGCGCTCAACTCTTATTTTAATCATTCGTAAAGCGATCAGACGTCATTCACTCGCCTTAATTCAGTGCGTTGCACGAACAAATATGTTCCTAAAAGTTCCCACTTTTCAATAAAATAGTGTCCTGTTTATTTCACTCAAATTTAGCAGCATCTAGGAAGAGTTCTTATAACTTGATGGAAATAGAGTCCACTGTGATGCACTACCCACCGGGTGTGTCGGCCACACGGGAGGACCATGAGAATCGATGCTGAGGATATGCAGATATTTGCCAGCACTTGACTCGCGAGGCGGTCTCCACGTTAATAGAGACTCGGTCGGTCGGCCGCTTGTAGGCGCGGCGAGAAGATGACAAGGTTAGCGTCGGCGCACGTTACCGCGTCGCGACGCTTGTACATGCGTGAAATGGAAAGAGAAAACGGCATACGGACTGAAGAGTTCAATTCCAATGAAAACGAAGAAAAATGCGTTAGAATATTAATCAAGATATTCAGCACAAAATCACAAATAAAATTCACTTTGTAATTTATGCACAAAACAACTGAGTTTGACTTACACTGTAGTATTAAAACCTAAGGATTCAATACAGCTGTGTCAAATCCATTTATGAGTCAGTTCAATCCAATCTTCATTGTCACAGTCTCTATCCAAAACTCGTGTTTACAAATCACTGTCACACACAGATTCTCACATGATCCTCAGTCACGGTTTTCACTGTGCTGCTTGGTAACGGCTTCCAACTCTGTAGCTTCCTCAGCTTCCGCGTCCAACTGCTCCTGTTCTCGCTGACTGGCACCATCCAACTGCAGCTCCGAGTTGAACTAATTAGCTTCAGAGTAATGTTACGACAGACGGTCAGTCAGTCAGCCAGTCTATCTTGGTGTGAAGCACAGCGCAGCACGCGGTAGCGTAGTTGGTTGAGACACTATGTTACGAGCCGGAAGCTCGCGGGTTCTATTCCCGAGGAGATCATTTAACTTTACAACTGACCTAATACTTCCAGCCGCACTATAGCCATTGAGTCGACTCAGCCTTTGATAGGAGTACCCAGGAATCATCCTGGATATAAAGGGCGGACGACGCGTAAGGCTGACAAAATCACAGCCATATGTGAGCCGATTGTCTACAAAATGTGGGAGCCTTGACGTCTCACAATTCTATGGAGCTCTACGGCTTGTTACAGGGATAACTTTAAATTTTTCTTACCTTTGGCACAGAGAAGATTTCTGTGCACCTTCTGCATCTTTCACATTATATCAGGAACACTACGAGAGAGTTAATTACATATTACAAATTATATGAGTTATGAAGTGTCTTGCAATACAGCCAAATATATTTTATCCCAAACGTTCTCAAGAGTACATTGCTTCGACCAACTGTAATTTATTTTTTCCGCCAATGCAAATATTCAAAGAAGATAAATCAGGTACAGCGATTTCCTTTATATCTATACGAATTAACAGTTTAATTTGTAATCAATTATTAACTAATTGCAGAACATGACATAGAACAGGGCATAGAAACGAGCGAGGTATTTTCTACTAGATGTGTTTGTTTATAATCGCTAGACCACAACAAGCACCACTTCACATGAATAACCGCGTTCCATTACGTAACCACAGTGACACTCAATCATATCGTATTGTGTGTGTTGTGGTGAAATGTTATAGGAATGGTGAACTTTTTACTGTTATCTTCTTCCCTCCCTCTCAAATATTTTCATCCAAAAACTGAAATCGCTCACACATCAATCTATTCCACTTTTTATGTAATCTCATTTAAGCGTCTGACTATATAAACTATAACTGGAACAAATTGCGTAACCAACAAGTTCCCTAGCCCACTGGCAATATGCCGTCCCGTATTCCTATATGCGGCTCCCATTTCCATAGTCTGTCATTCTTTGAGTGGAATTCGATACGCACGGCTAGGGATTTCTAACACAAAAACTGCATATCCAACCTCAGGGAAGAACGAAGAATGTGGCTCTTCAAGAACAATATATTGAAAAAGCAGTCGCAGACAGGCGACAAGGGATGGTCCTCCAGCTTGGAGGTTGGGCGTGGAGCTAACAACTCCTCACCGTAAAAGATAAGCTTATTACTAAAGATCAAAAGAAGCCTCGGACATGGACAGATTTCTTAGATAAACGACCTAAACTTCTTCTCGACTTCTCGTCTGCTGTCTAAAAACATAGAAATTAGAATATACGGAACTAAAATTTTGCCTGTTCTGTATGGGTGTGAAACTTGATCTCCGACATTAAGGGAGGTTGTTTGAGAACAGGGTGTTGAGGAGATTATTTGCAACGAATACAGATGAAGTGACGGGAGGGTGGAGAAAACTGCATAATGAGGAGCATCATAAGTTGTACTCTTCTCCAAATATAATTAGAATGATCAAGTCAACGAGGATGAGGTGGGCATGGCATGTAGCACGAATGGAGGAGAAGCGGAATGCATATAGGATATTAGTGGGAAAGCCAGAAAGAAAGAGGCCACTGGGAAGAAAAGGACGTGAGTGTATCACATTTTAATGGATCTTCGAGAGATGGAATGGGATGGTATGGATTGTACTGATCTGGTTCAGGATAGGCACCAGTGAAGAGCTCTTGCGAACACGGTAATGAACCTTCGGGTTACATGAAATGCTGGGTACGTAAATCACTTTGTCACTTTCATGTGCACATATTCTACTCAGCAATCCGGTATTTGTCCCCAAGCCTCTGAAAGACGACAGCAAATTCTGGGAGGGCAGTTGACTCTGAAATGGTCTTTGCATTACGCTGTCTCAGTGTTCAGAGTCGAAGCGATTAGGATCCATGTCATGTTGCCACTGACTGACAGTCTCTCTGCCTTGGTGTGGAGCCCCTGTTGGAGCTCATAACCAGATTTTTCTGTTTGCTTAGACATTTGAAGTGACTGTATTCGCGGAACAAACTCTCTCACAAGGGGGAGGGTGTGTCTCTTGTAAAGTCTTTGTCTTAGTCTGTACATTCGTGTTTACAACTATGTATAAATGAATTAATACCTAAATACTGTAACTTATTTAAATATCCACATACTTAGCATGCAGTGGTGATCCAACCATGATGGTGCCACCGCTGTTAACTCCGTGTGTGAGAGGGGGAGCTATCAGAATAATTACTTCTGTATTCTCGTCTCGTCCAGTTTGCACATCCCATCATAATTACTGACGTTTCGGAAACCGAATAAGTATGAAACAGTGAATTATATAAGCGATGCATTTGTTTGCTTAATTTTCCCCTACTGGGGTCATTTTGCTGCCAAAATGTGGCATCAGTGGCCGCTCCTAAGGGAAAATAAAGTTGTCTGCGACATAGTCATTCAATGTCTTCATGTTAAACCTAAAATCTGAATACACAGTTG